TTCTTTCGAAAATGTTAGTACATATCTTCCATTCAGTTAGGATAGATTAGCGGCACAAAAAATCTGACACGGTTGCAGTGCTCTCACTTGGTTAGGTGTAAGTACCATATTTCCGATGTCCGAAAGTTTTTGAATGACCTTATACTATATTCTTATATTCTTAGATGAAATTTTAATAAATTATAAACAATATTTTTGTTAAAGAATTATAATAAATAAAAATAAATTCTGTTTCAATGTAGATATACAAATTTAGAGATATTTAAATCTTCTATTTACATTTCTTTGCTTCTACTAGAATCAGTTGTCTAGTACAAAGAGCTGCCGTAACATTATCGATACAGTAGGTAGACTAAAAACTTTCCAAAGTTTCTACTATTTCGTTAAATCTATTTAAGGTTAAGTTTATGACTCAAGGATTTCGTATGTATATGATTTTACCAATTCTATTTATTTTAAATATATTTGTTTATGTCTACAATTAACATTTGCTTCAAACGTTTTTACAATTTTTATGGGTTTTGTATCCATTTGCTTTACATGTTTTTACAATTTTCATTTGCTTTAAATGTTTTTCTAAATAAAATAGGTTAAGTATCCAGTAAACGACAGTTTTACTTAAATATGATTTGTTTTCATTCAAATTGTTAATCGATTTGCTTTGTATATAGTTTTGAGAAATAACACCACTTTTTCTATTTGAGTTGTAAATATAAAAAAAAAGTGCTGATTTGGCCCCTGCTAATCCCTGTCCCTAAAGCTACTTGTTTTACTAGAAAGACGAATGGCTTCAGAGCATAGATCTGTTCGCCCTTAAAACAACTTTGTTTCTTGATATATGGTGCTTCTTGTTATATTATTCTTTTTTGTTAGCTAGCACTATTCACTTTTGAATTTGTTTGACAGTTCAAGTTAAATGTTGAAAATTCCATCAATAATAACACAACAGATGTTCTTGTTGCTATTATTGATTTAGAAAATTAATTTCAGAATTTACGTCTGGAAAGTAATAGATCTATCTACAAAATCATTTACATAAAAAACCGAAGTTTGTATGTAATTCTACTTCTTATTTTAATTATTGATATATAGACGTTTGCTACCAGACATATGGTCCGTTGACATAGAATTTTCATTGTTCACAATTTCTAGTACCATAACTGGTAGAATATTTTTTTCCGGACGTATTCTATTTGCTCCGCCTTTAGGTAATTTTTGGTTTTGGCATGCCGTCTTTTTGAACGTTACATTTTAAAGTTGCGTGACATATTACATCATAGGGCTTCCTTAAAGTTGCGAAAGCGATAATATTTCTTTCTTTTAATTTAATTATTAATGTTCTCTTGGTTTGCTTATCATTGTAATTCTTCGTTTCTTCAACTTATTAATATAATACGTACTTGGTAGAACTCTGTATTTTGCGTTTAATATAAATTTGGTCAACATGTTTCCGATCTATAAGGGAGTTTCAATTTTACACAGGCATCTTAAATAAGGATTTTTAATTGCTATTCCATTAATCATATAAGTTTTTAAAGTCGACCTGTGTTTTTTGAATTGTGCCTCTTTCATCTTTACTAGAACACAGAAGGAGGTTGTAACGAGGACTCTTTATTTAAACTCATACTGAAATAATAGAATATAACATAAAAAAATATTAATAGTTTTATTAGTCGTAAATATATAATGTCTTCATAATCCTGGTAAAACTGGTAGGTGCTTTATAATTTCTTTACGGAGTACAGTAACCGTCTCTATAACGCGGTAGATTAGTTCCGCGTTATAGAAAAACGCCTTATTCTTGTACACCCCGTGTAAACACGTGCACAGGTATGCGAAACTAATTATGAACTGTACAAAACCCCGCGTTATATGGGGGAATGCCTGTGTTATACGGGAGACTAAAACCGCGTAATCAGAAAACGCGTTATAAGGATACCCCGTTATAGGGAGAGATTACTGTATACATTTATATTCTGCTTTATTATTCAATTTAAATTTATTATTAAAGATTATTAAATTATTATTACATACAATCCTTTACTAAATAGTAGTAAATATATTTTTTGTGAATATAAAAACTTATTTTGTTAATTAATATTCTTTTAGCTTTCCACGGCGAAGTAATTTATCTTCTGCTATGCAATTAATATCAAAATTGACTAATTGTAGTCCATTCATCTTATGGACTACTACTGACTTTCTTGTTGCACTCAATTTTGTTTTAATTTACGAAATTAAAAATGCAAATTAATTATTCATTAAAAATGTAAATCCAAAAAATTATTCCACTAAATACTGGCATATTTTTTCTGATATTGAAGAGGAGAGAACTTATTATGATTCATATTTTTGCGTTTTTTTGAGTGAAAATTCCAAATTATGATGGAAATAAACTGTAATTTTCTGCATACATCTTCAAGATATTTTAAACCACATTGTCAACATATGCGATAAAATACTGACTTTCCTTAGAAAGTCCTTTCGAGGCAACACAAATAAAATTTTATTACTGGCGCTTAGCCGCTATGAATTGTCTGACATATGTTAACGTTCATGAATTTGATGGAAGGGAGTGATGAAGACCTATAAATGTTTACATTTATGATGTAAATAAAAATTCCGTTAGGTGATTAAAAAAAATTTCCTCAATGACATGTGTGAAATATGATGATGATCTTAAAATAAATAGGGTTTTAAAGATTGAAATAGGTTTTCATAGGCTCACTAAATATTTTAGTATGTCAAAAAGTTAGACAATGATTTTATTACTTTCTATAAATAATATTTAGTAATTTCATTTATATTTCTATATATGTATATACATTTCTCATATCTTCAATAATTTATGTGTATTACACACCCTCGTAATTCCATTTTAATACCTAATAATCTCTTGTAATTTTATTATTTTTCTTTGCAGTTGATTTTACTCTGACGCGTAAAATTGATGACTGGAGCTCTCCTCTTATATGTGTCAATTATGATATGACAGTTAACGATCGGGGGCAGTAATATTTCAAGTTGTGCCGGATCCGCAGTGTGTTGCGTGAGTCAAAGTGTTATTCGGTTATTAGTGAGAAGCAGTCGATTAACGTTGCGAATTTATTCAATTTAAAAGAAAAAAGTGCGCGCTCCGCAGCAATTACGAATATTTTAACTACGTTTACAAGCATTTCAACAGATATAAAATACAAATAAACTCCATATACCAACCAGTATATACTCAATATATATGTATATATATATTAAATCTAAATATGTATATCTTTTCATGTTTCGCCAATTAAATTTAATTCACTTATAAGCAATAAAATTTAAAAAAAGAATTGTGAAGAAAAAAAAATTAATTTGTTACAGTGATCGCAATTGTTTCTTAAGTTTAAAATAAAAATATCTCTCAATGAAAAGTGATGTAAAAATTTAAAAATAAAAATGTTAATTACGAATATTAGTTTTTCTAAAACTGCACCTTGGAGCGCACGGCAACGATCGAATTTAACAGCAATAACAACAGAAATATTTCCAACATTAGCAGCGACAAGATCAGCAAGAGCGGCAGCTGAAACGTCATTACTACATACTACATTCTGTTGTCCACAATGTCACAATTATAAAGATAATATGACCTTCCAATTAATTTACCAATCTATAAAGTGCAAAATGTCAAATTCATTTTTACGTGACCATGCGAAAATGTTTAATTGCTTAAGTAGATCGGCGCTACTGCTCTCTAGTTTCCATATGTGCATTTTACTAGTTTGCTGTGCTGTGATGTCCGGTGCAGTGTCAGTGAACGCCGCTGCCATAAATCACAAACAGCATCATAACGGTGCACGTCTCTTTTCTTGGAATAATCTTTCCGAAAATAATGAGGCTTTTAATTCTGATTCCAACGACAACGGATATGTTTTGAATGCTGATCCCAAGTTCAGTGCGGAATCGTCGATTGCAGCAACGGACTCAAAACCAAATACTGGTAAGTTGAACTTATTATTATACATATATTTATATACAGATAGTAAGCTAATTAATTAGTAATTCCTTATTTAATTTATCTATTCTGAAAATCAAAAAAAAAACTTTTCCAAGTTGCAAATATATAAATGTGGCTTATCTTTCATATACAGTGGCTTAGATAAGGGGTATTAAGATATAGATTGCTCTCCTTAACAATACGTATATGATCTACAAATAATACACTGCCAGAAAAAATATTACCCTCTGTATTCCCTCTGGCTACACCACTATTCATAACCAGAACGAAATCTAGTGAAACATTTTCTTTCGAACCATTGGCATAACTAATTTTTCCCTTAATGGATGACTACTGATTAGGCATTAACTGTAATAAAAATTGCACAATCTTTCCCCTAACTGTCAGCGAAAAAGAAAGCATAGACTTAGTTGGGAGATATATGTGTATACTTCATATTCTTTAAATATTTTTTGATTTGAGGAAGTTATATGAAATAGCGAATATTAAAAAGAATTTTATGTGAGAAATCTATTTTAGGTATACGTATGTGATCTACAAATAACACACTGCCACAAACAATTTCACCTACTATATCCCCCCTGGACTTACACCACTGTTCATATCCAGAATAAAAACTAGTGAATCATTTTAGTGAATAGTAAATAGTTTTTTTATGAGAGAAACCCATTTTTTTCTCTCCTAATCTTAATTTATACTCGTCCAGTAACCTTCTCCAACCAGGCTGAGCTGGTTTTCCAGTTCTTCGGTTTTCAGGTCTTCAGTGAGTTCCTGTTACCAAATAAGTCACCTCTTATCGTTATAAGTTGTTAAATATCTTCTGTCACACAACA